CGTATCAAGTTTATAATTTGCCAAGATTTCTTGGAATTGATTATAAACGAAATACGTCATTAGCATGGCACAATGGGGATAATGTTATGAATAACTGTCATTTTGGAAAAATTACATTTTGTCATGTATTACCGCCCATGGTTTTCAAGTAATATGGAATTTGTATGCGAACGTCCACCAAATGTTCATGGGGTTTCATGTGAAATGCAGTGCAGGGGAGAAAAATACGTCACTTACTGGCTTTTTCCATTTGATTTAACTTTCTATTTAGATTCTATGAGTTGTCCATATGACCAAATTTCTTTCCCTAGTCACCTCTGAATAGCGAGACCTGCTATCAACCTCTAATGGGTTCATGTCTCGTTCCTCTCAACATCACTACGAACTGTTTCATGAATTTTCATATTTTTCGAAACGCTTCAACTTGTATTAGATAAAAGAAGAAATAGAAGCCAACCTTGTTTATCACTCGCTCTCATTTGTATCTATAAACCTGACATATCGTCGGTTATATGCTAAGTAAATAGCATGTTGTTTTTAATAGTGAGTGGAAGACTATTCTATTCGATTCATCTGATGTTGCTCTTTTTCGCATAAATGCAAACGAAAGAAAACAAAAGATATCTTTCTTTTCTTAGGACGGATAGGTGAAAAGAACGAAAACCTAAAAAAGAAAATCAACAATTTTGTGACGACTGACGCCTACATTGTAATTTATTAATAAAACCGAAGAAATTTGTATAATCAGTGTCCAGAACGTATAGAAAAGGTAGCGGTTGAAGAAAGAAAGTTTTACGATACATTACGACTGACTTGACTAAGAGATCAAAGACGTCATTGAGTGAGTATTTGTTCATAATTCAAGATAGTACCTAGTCCGTCATTATCGACGTAATTCCAAACTTGTTTCATGCTCATAAATCATGTTAAGCCCTTTCTCATTTCATTAGTGGTGTCAACTATAAACTGTAATAAGCTGGAAAATCCCCAAGCTTTTCTGCAAGTATATCATCCACATAAATTTATTCTTGACGAACAAAAATTTATTAAAACCCATTCAGCGGAACGTGTGTTGAATGATTATAGAACATCTGTGTATTCCATAGAAACAATGACTGAAGATTCGTACCTCATATCTTTAATTCAGGTTAGGATGTAATGAAAAGATTGAAATATTTGTGAGCTGTCAATAGGATAGTCCAATAACTGTTTCGATACACGCTGTTACCAGAGACGCCACGAAGTACAAGAAGCAGGGAGGGAGTCCTCCAATTTCGGAGTAAATCGAAAAATTTTAAAAATGAGAGTAATGAGATTTGCCTAAAAATACGCAAGTTTTGACATACATAACTCCTTTGAATTTAAGAGTAAGACGTGGTGATTTATCGGCATAACCTGAGCAATTGATTGATATCTGAGCCTCAAACTTTGACCTTACGCAAACTCAGGGGACACAGGCGTATTGATACGAAGTGTCAAGGATTTAGACCGCGGGATTTGGGAGCAAAGTTAGTGAAAGAGAGCAAGAAGAATGCAAAGCTTCCAAAATGCGAGTGGTAGCATATTTTGTTGTAAACAAAAAAAAAGAAAATATGTTTACTCTAAAATCGAGAGTATTTATAAAATAATGAGTAATCAACGCTTGCCCATTATGCACCGTCAAATCAGAGCTCAGAATTTCGCTCTTCATTTCCACATGCTATTTTCTTTATTAGCATACGCCCGATAGTGCTGATTGTTGATTCTCAATTCCAGAGCAAAACTTAACGGATTTGTAAGTAAAAGATTTCAAGAAACAGGGAGGAGATCGCCCTCTCTACCCCTGTTGTCGCGGCGTTACAGATTTGGCTGAGATTTTTACCACATGTAGGTCTATGTATATTTACTTACCGTGAGAATTCTTTTTAAAAGTGTTATATTATCAAGCTAAACACAGAGTTATATAAAAAGCTGCGTAATAAAACGTCACGTCACAAGGCGTAAAAGCCATGCAGAAGAACTGTGAAGTAGCAAACCGATGAGAAAAAGAGTGAATTTAAATTATAAGGAAAAAAGCGTAAGAGAGGATAGATGAATCCTAAAATCGTGAAGAATTTTCATAAAAGAAAAAGTCGTGAAATAAAACTCGTAATACAAAAACCATAAACGAGATGACCGCAAGGAAACAACGTCCGCAATAAATCATAAATCAAAATGCGTCAACTAACCAGCGTTCACACCCGAAGTCATCTCATATTGTCTATTTTTCAAGAAAATCGATGGTTAACCACGGTTATTTCAACTAAAACCATAGCAATACAACACAGAAAGAACGACGGTTAACTGCCCAGTTAACGGGAAAAATGGTCGGTTAGCCGCTGATTTTTCCGGTGAATTGGGTGGCTAACCGTCGTTTTTTCTATTGTGTCGCTATGGTTTTAGTTGAAATAACTGTGGTTAACCATCGATTTTCTTGAAAAGTAGACGACATGGGGATCCATCTCTTTTATTGTCTGCATAACTAGTAAATCAATAACACCAGTTTCAGCACTAATCATGAAATTTTTTGCATTTCGTTTTCTTTTTCTTTGATTTTTACTTAACAAGGGAGTAAGCGTTCTGAGGACTGGTACTGAGGATCAGCCTTATGGCTCACAACACGATCGTGGTTGCTGTACAGTCCACCTGCTGGAGTGAAAACTTTTCGCGAAGTAATTAGTTTGGTTCAACTAGAGAGTCGTTGGTTTCTTTGTAACGAGTTTTATTTCACGACCTTTTCTTTTTTAGAATTTCTTCACGATTTTAAGATTCACCTATCCTATCTCAGGGTTTTTCCTTATAATTTAAATGCACGCTTTTTCTTGCTACTTCACAGTTCTTCTGCATATCTTTTACGCTTTGATATGACACTTTATTACACAGATCTTTTGCTGTATAGCGTCACAAACCGAGAAAACTCTTGACATATTACAGGATCTAAAAATTTAAAGTGCTGCTTCGGTCAAAACTGATTGAAGCTTTTTCTTCTCTCTGGTACGCGATAACTTTTGGATCGAAGTACTTTAGAAAATAATTTTCTCGTGTTCTTGCTCGAAATTTCTCAAAACGTTACTGTACAGGACCAAAGGCATGATGATGTTGAAAAACTTTTCTGAAGCATCCCGATCTAAAAATTATCGCGTACTTGATAATCGACTATGAAGAAGACAAATATGGACACGGTTTTGACCGAACAAACTATTCAAATATTTCGATTTGGTTACAAGCGTAAATGTTCTTTTATTGTACTATAATCTGCCTGAAATATCGTTCAAAGCGAATTTGTATTGTGATACGTGTTTTATTGTAGACATTTTGGCTTATGTATGCATATACCGGGATGATAGAATGAAAGAAACTGCTACTTTTCATATAATGTTTATAAACTTCATACTTCGACAAGAAAAAGTTGTCAAAGTCCGGAGTCGTCTCATTTTATTAAGAACTTCATGTGCTGCAATCTGAACAGGTTAAAATAAATGTAACGGGTGTTCCAGAAATAATGGCGCCGTTTTAATTTACAGTTATCTCAGTTTTTGAGCTAACGACCTAATTGTTTTTTCAGAAGATGCGCCTTGAAATTCTCTACAAAATGATACATAAACTATAACTTCAGAACTTCAATGAAGACAACTAAGCCAATTAGATGAATGTCTAAATAAATGAAAACTTTCCAAACTCAAAAATGATGTCTTGTCTTAACGTTTTGAAAGTAAGAAAAACTGAATTAGCCATTTTGTAGCCCTGACTTCGCTCTATCTTTCAGCTAAACTTCAAATTTTTTCACATCAAAAGCCACGGCGAAATAATCATTTTTCTATCGGTTGTCATGCATTTTTTCATTAGGTTTTTAAAATCTTGGGTATAGTAGTGCTTTCAGTAAAAGTCCCATAACTCCATCAAAATAAAAGCTTTTCGATCGGGTTTGTTTTGCTTTGATGAGAAATGATTGCTCTTCTCTATCTAACTGCAAAACCAAAACTTCAAACATGTTTTCCGTGTCTTTCCATGACCACATTGTTGGAAATGGGGAGATTGTCACCTTTTGACGTATTTTTGTAACTTCGTTCTCCAGCACACCATCTGTTCTAAAAAGTTCTTTTATAGACCACGAGAAAGAGCACATTTGAAAGTACTAAACATAAACAGAGTTCCCACTTTTGCTACACTTTTTAGCGAAAATAGTAGCAGAAGAAAAAGTTCAAGTCGAAAAACATTTTGAGTTTGGATAGTTTTCATTTTTTTCGACTTTCATCTAATTGGCTTAGTTTTCTTGATTGAAGTGCTGAAATTATAGTTTATGTATCATTTTGTAGAGAATTTCAAGGCGCATCTTCTGAAAAACAATTAGGTCGTTAGCTCAAAAACTGAAAGAGATAACTGCAAATTTAAACGGCGCCATTATTTCTGGGACCTCCGTTAGAACAGGGCTCCGTTGTTTCAAAGTTTTTAAGAGACTTGATTGTGAAAATGTGTGATATTTATACTCGACATTCAGACTGATCGTTAATTGATTAGAAACTACAAAAAAAGCTTCGAAAGTTTTAAATAAAAAATATTTGAGACAATTATATTCACACAGGTATTACAATCAAATCATCCTAGTTAATCACAATCAGATCTATATAAATACTGCTTTTGGACGAACTATACCAAAGAATGAACTGTAATGATTTCAGCGCATTCTGTTTCACCAAAAGTAGAATTCTATGATCTATTAGTATAAGTTACTGTGTTTTTTTTCTAAAATAAACATGTTATTTGATTGGATTAAATGGGAAATAGCACTACCAGTGTATTATTGTAACTGTTTTCGTTGCTTATCTTTAGTATGTTTGGCGCTTTCTTTGTCATTATTCTGGTAACTTGTTTTACTAGAATTTACGCTGCAGAATGTAGAAGTCGCAATTCAATCAAAGGCAAGAATGATTTTGTCATAGGGCCGCCTGAAGCTTTGGTGAACTAAAAATAGGCGCGTTTTTCGAAAAATCCGATCCTTTGACCGGAAAAAAATGTGTCGAAAAGCTAAAACAAGCTTTTTCTTACTCAGTTCAATGCGCTCTTTCAAATCATATATGATTTAACTGGAAAATAAAACAGTATTCATCGTTTGAGTTTTCGGCAGCTTAATTTTGCTATTAGAATGAAGGAAGTGCGAAGCAGAAAATAGAGAAAAAATGAATTACCTGAATTCCATCAAGTTTAAATGAAAAACTAATTTGTTGACTATCTCGTGTTGTATCAGAGAAATAAATAGTGCTTAAACGTTTATCAAATGACTTAAAAATTGTGCACCATTGTATTCGTTGTTCAGGAATTTTCCACTGAATCAATTGTCGTTTACCTACACGAATACAATCCGCCACTCTCTTAATATTACGTACATTGTTTTTGTTTAATAAATGATGAACAATATCAAAATCAAATTTAACTCTAATGTTTTCTTCGTCCAAAATCACAACTTCTGATTTTTTAGCGAATAGAACTTCAAATGAATTTGTAGTATTAGGTTGATCATTGTTATTATTACTGATTGTTTCATTATTCGGTGATAGAGAAATATTTATTATTGGTTTAACATCTGTTGTATTAAGATCTCTATCTATCACCGAGGGATACGACTGCGTGGATGATAAAATACTATTATTATTTGTATTTTCAGTGTTCGATATAGGATACAGCTCTATATTGTCGACGC